CCCAGGATGAAGCCCTTTTCCAGGGCAGCCTGTTGAGCTGCAGGGTGTGAGGGGAAGGTTTTCCAGCCAGAAGAGGGAATGCTTTCCATACATTTACTTCTTTCAGCCCATTATCTGCCCCTGTCCCCCTCCTCCTGCTCTGGCTCGCTCTCCCCTCCCGGTGTTTCGGTGCTGATGGGGTTGTACGTGCCAGTCCCCATGAGGATCCCATTCCAGACACTCATCCTCCTTTAGAAAACATCCAAAGTCAAGGCCGTGCATCCCTAGGAGCGAGTGCAACAGCTTCGGTTTTTGCACGTTTCCAAAACGAGCTGCAGACCCAAAAATAGAACAAAAAAAAGTTTCTTTGCCACCTCCCTCGCTCCTCTGCAGCGCGACAGCCCCGGGGCGGCTCAGGGGAGGCGGTTGTGCCTCGGCCACTCAAGGCCACCCTGGTTAAAAGGGAGACGCCGTCCTCCCTCTTCCTGCCGAGGGCTTGGGATGCGTGAGCTGCTCCAGGGAAGAGCCGAGGTGGGACCATGAGCGCTCTCAGGGGGCTCCTGCTGTGCCTGGTGCTGCTGCTCCCCTCTGCAGCTCTGCCCAGGAAAGGGGAAAGGGATTCCCTGATGGAGCTGAGTCTGCTAGAAGAGCTGGGGCTGGAAGCAGAAGGGAGAAAGGTGGGAAATGGAAGTTTACAGGAGCCACCCAGGTCCAGGAGGGCTGCTGCCACTCGCCTCTTCTCCAAGCCTGAGCCGGGAGCCGAGTGTCCCCAGGCTGAGGAGGGGGGCCCGGGCTGGTCCCGCTCTAGCCCGCAGCCCTGGCCCCTCGGGGGCCTGGAAGGGCCCGTGTGCAGGGTGAGGATGGAGCAGGACGGGGCCACCCCGAGGCACCTGGAGGTGGTAGGTGTGCTCAGCCACTACGAGAGCAGCTTCATCAAACTGCTGAGACGGCGCCGGAGCTGGGATGGGAACTTCCCGGGGACCTTCGGGCTGTGCCGGGCCGGGGAGGCGGCGGCTGCTCCCCATCCCCTGCAGAGGATCCACGAGCACGTGCTGGAGCCGGGGCGGGAGAGATTCCTCGTCCTGCACCTGGAGGAAGGTTGGTGGGAGAGCCCTGCAGGCTCCGAGGTGGAACAGCGAGGAGAAGGATGCCGGGCTCGGGGTGGTGATGCTGTTTGCTGGCTCAAAGTCAGGGATTTAAACACAGAATTAAATCTGGGGGTTGGGTTCCCTTTAAAAACAGCGGAGTGATGGAGTGAAATGTTTCTGGGCACGTTTTCAAGGAGGTTTAGCAGTGAGGATGGCAGCGTGGCTCTGCCATCTGTCCCCGCCTCTGACCAACACCCAGGTGCTGGGCAGTGGGGAAATGGCTCTTCTCCGGGCAGAGGCCACAACGTCCCCGAGCCACTGGAGAGCAGATTTCCATGGGATCTGGGGGGAGGCAGCTCGGTGGGTGCGGGGTGTGTCCCGCTCTCCGTCTCTCTGGAGCCGGGATTTGCCGTGTCCCTTCACCCTGTGGGCTCCTGTCCCAGGCTCTCTGGTCCCTGCATGGGGACAGTGCCCGTCCCGAAGCCCCCTCCTCACCCCCGGAGCCCCCGGAGGGGATTCACGGCCGTGTCTCCCCCGTTGCAGTGCAGTGGGAAGCGCAGGTGAAGCTGCGGTTCCAGCTGGTTTTCCAGGCGGAGGTGGGACGGGCTCTGGGAGAGCTGCAGGTGGCCGTGATGCTCTTCTACCCGGGCCGCCGGGAGGGCCGGGGCTCCGGGCCCCCGCAGGAGCTGCTGCTCACCGGCCCGGGGCTGGAGCGGGACCAGGTGGGTCCGGGCCTCGGTGGGAGCAGGGGGCGGGAGGGGTGGCTCTGCTGCCCAGTGCCTTTCTCATCCCTCCAGTCCATTCAACAACCCCTCCAGCTCCCCTCCCAATTCATTCATCGCTCCCCCAGGGCTTTGCTATCCCCTCCCAATCCATTCACAATCCCCTCCCAATCCATTCACAATCCCCTCCCAATCCATTCACAATCCCCTCCCAATTCATCCACAATCCCCTCCCAATCCATTCGCAGCCCCCTCCCAGTCCCTCTGCCATTCCCTCCCAGCATCTCCGCCCCGTCTCCCGCTCCCGCCGTGCCTGAAGATGGAGCTCTTACCCTGTTCCCAGCCCCCGCAGGGCCAGCGGGGCTGCCCCCGGTACCCAGCCCGGTCTGAGGTGCTGATGCCTGTCCCCTCGGGGGTTCACTGGGTTCCCTGCACTCCGCGGTCCCCGGAGCAGCTCTGGGGCTGAGGACGAAGCTCCCAGTGGTCCTCACCCTCCTTGTGGCTGCTCCCTGGGCCACTCGGGCTGGGTGACCCGGAGCCCGCAGGGACCACGGCGGGGGCTCACGTGTGTCCCCCTTGATGTCTCACCCACGCCCTCGGGGCCTTCTGTGTCTTCTACCCCGGTGCAGAGGCTCTGCCTCTCCAGGGACACGCAGTACCTGGCCCTGGCAGCCGCCGCAGCCTCGGTCACCCGCAGCGCGGAGCGGCTCCGCTTCTCGGCTTCCCTGGCTATCCACGGCGGAGCGGGAGGTAGGGACGGGGGGACACCCTGGGGACAGCAGCAGCCCTGCCCTCGTGCCCTCGCTTGGGCGTTTGGGGTCCTCTCAAGCCCACGAGAGGCGGTGGGGACATGCAGGAGACCCCAGACCAACGTCCTCCCCTCTCGTTGCCGCAGCAGGTGCCCCCCTGCCCCGCACGGAGGTGCAGCAGCTCCTGTTCGGCTCCGATGACAAATGTTTCACCCGGATGACCCCGGTGCTGCTGCTGCTGGCCAAGTCACGGCAGCAGGAGGAGGAAGAGGAGGAAGAGGACGCTTTGGCCCCATCCTCCTACCAATCTGCTGAGGGGGTGCTGGACATGGCTCCGTACCCACAGCTCAGGTCCGTGGCCGTCGCTGCAGGCGCGGGAGAGCACGGGGGCTGGGAGATGAGGTGGGACAGGGGCAGCCCCAGCTGTGGGACCATGGCTGAGTGTAGGGCACGGCCTGGTGGGACCCCCGGCGTAGACGGGAGCCCCGTGACTCTCCCTGTGCTCTCCTTGCAGCCCACCCCAGGCCGGGACCGAGGAGCTGCCGACCCCCACTGCCCCGAGCCAAGCCAACACTTCGTCCCCAGCGCCCGGGGGCAGCGCCCAGTTCCTGGCAGTCCTGACCCGCTTCATCCGGCAGCTCCTGAGCTCCTCCAGCGAGCCGCCCCCCCAGCCCAGTGCCCACCACTGGCTGGACTTCGAGGCGATAGAGACCCTCCCTCACCAGCTGCTCAACCTGTCGGAGGAGGCGGCGCTGGAGCGGCTGGTGCAGTCGGAGGAGCCCTCGGTGCTGCTGCTGGCCCAGGACAGCGGGGCCGTGCTGGAGCAGCACCTGGGGGACTGGCAGCCGGAGGGCACCGTGCTGCAGCTGCTGATGGGCAAACTGCAGCTGGTCATCCAGGAGCTCAGGGACATCCCGGCTTTCCAAGCCAACGCGGCGCTTTTCCAGCACCTGCTGACCTTCTGCTATTACCCAGCAGAGCCGGGGCAGGCCGAGGGGGCCGAGCAGGGCCCGGGTTCGCGGAAGCTCCGCACGCTGCTGCTGCTGAAGGCGCTGCAGTCGGTGCGGGCGCGCTGGCAGGAGCGCAGGAAGGTTCAGCGGCAGAACCGCAGCGCTCGGCACCAGGCGCACTGCCGGCTGCAGGAGCTCACCATCGACCTCCGCGACCGCCACTTCATCGTCATGCCCACCGCGTACGCGGCCAACAACTGCGAGGGGCCCTGCCGGCTGCCGCTGTCCACGCGCGTCCCCAGCTACTTCTCGCACACGGTGCTGCTGCTGGGCATGCAGGAGCGGGGCTCGCCGCTGCGCAGGGCTCCCTGCTGCGTGCCCGTGCGCTACTCGGACCAGCTCATCATCAGCCTCTCCTCGGACGGGCTGGAGATCCGCAAGTTCCCCAACATGGTGGCAGAGGAGTGCGGCTGCCGGTGAGGCTCCCGCCGGCCTCCCCGCTCGCCCCACCCCAGCCCCTCTCCCGGATTGCCCTCCCGGCTCGGGATCTGGTGCTTCTGGCCGAGACGGGAGCTCCCGTGTGTCCTTTCCCCACGGTTTGGCTCGTTAGCGTGGCTCTGGTTCTGGGTTCATCCATGCCTGTCCCTGGGACTGCTCCGTGCTCCACTGGGGCCGTCCCCGCTCCGGCTGCTGAGGATGCCCGAGGTGCCCGCGGGCTCTGACTCCGGTTTGGGCTGGGCACGGGCACGGCAAAGCTTGGCCGATCCAGGCACTCATTTCTCCCTCACTCTCTGCTCCTGCAGTGGCTGGGAAGGGCAGGTGCTGATTCCTCCAAGCCCTGCAGCATCCTCTGGCCATTCCCCAGCCCACGGCCCATCACGAGATCCCCCTGGCCCCACGGCTCCAGCTGTGACGGCAGAGCAAGAGAGGCCAAATCCCCTCGCAGAGGCCAGCCTTGCCCTGGGGACACGTCTCTGTGTGAGCCGGGCCCTGAGGAGCCGCCGGCCGTGTCCTGGGGCTCCCGGCCAGGTCACATCTGCGTCACCCCGCGCTGACCCCGCGGCAGGGGCGAGGGGAGGAGGGAGGGAGCGATCCCGTTACACCTCCAGGGCTGCTCGCACCATTAATGGGAGCGGGAGCAAACGGCTGCCAGAGCACCTGCTCCGCGTCCCTCCGGCGTCAGCACGGGCCGCCTGTCCCAGATCATCTTCCAGCTGAGCCCAGCCCTCAGCCGGGGATCCAAACCCTTGGGAAGCAGCTCCTGGGCTTGTCCTGGCTGCTCCTCCTCGGGTTTTGCAGTGTCCCCACGGGGAGGCGCGGCTGGAGGGAGGTACCCCCCAGTCCCATCTCACAGCCCTGCAGGATTAGCCCTGAGCCCCGCGGGTTTGGGGGGCACAGAAAACACACACACACAACCAGGGACAAAACACATAACCAGGGCACATGACAAGGGCTTTTCTCATTTTCCTCTCTTTTTTTTTTCTATTTTTTTAAAACATCCAGTTGAATACCTTATTAAAAATGAAAATAGTTTATTTTAACCATTGTTGATTTAGCAAATAGTGAAACCTGCCATGGGTCGGGGCTGTGAACGTCTCTGGCTGTGTGATATTGCTCTTGTGTTTCCTTCCTAAAAGCGACTCGGAGAAGATGAGGCCCGCAGGGATCCCTGGGTGAGGGGCTCCAGCCCTGCTCTGTCACCAGCTCGTTCTGGGCCACCCTGCAGCGATGGCTCTGGGCTCTGGGCTCGGTCAGGGGTTCTGTCCCTGATGTCCCTCTGAGGACGGCTGCAGCCTGGTTCCATAACCCAGAATAGTCTTCTCTCTTGATTTGCTTTCAATAAAACCATTAACCCAAGAGCTGCACAGTCTGGACACAACTCTGTTCACTGGGGTCTCTGCAGTGCCCCGGAGCCACGAGCGGAGATGAACTGCGGGGGGATTTTGGGTGGGAATGGGGAAGTAACGAGGCTCAAAGAAGCTCCTTCCATGAGTCCTTTCAGGTCGTCTTTGATCCAGGGGGCCCAAAGCCCCCGGGGAGGCTCCTGGGCTGCTCTGCTGCTGCTCGGGGCTGCTGGGGGGCTGCCCGTGCCCGGGGGTGTCTCTGGAGGGCAGGCGGGGGCGGGGATCCCTTGCTGGGAGCCGTGGTGGGATTGGATTCCCCTGGATCCGGCGTCACCGAGCCCCGCGCCCGCCCCGGCCTCAGTCGCGCCTCTTGCCCTCCCTGGCCCTGCCGTCCCTGCCCGGCGCCAGCTCCCAGGGCTTCCTGCCCTTCTGCTGCTTCCAGTCCCGCCTCGGGCTCTCCCGGCCGCCCTCAGCCCTGCCGGGACGGCCCTTCCACCCCTCCCTCCTGGCCTCATCCCGCTCCCGCCGTCTCTCCTTCCTCTCCTTCCTCTCCCGGTCCCGCTTTTTCTGGGGCTGCTGCTCCGGTTCCCTGGGGGCCCTGGGGGCTCTGCCGGGTTTGTCCCCCGGTGTCCTGTCCTTGGCTCGTGCCTCCCTCCGGCTGCTTCGCTCCGTATGGACAGCACGGCCTTCCCGGGCTTTCTCCTTCTTCTCCTCCTTCTTCTTCTTCTCCTTTTCCTCCTCCTCCTCCTTCTCCTCCTCCTCTTCCTCCTCCTCATTCCCTTCTTTTTCTTCCTCCTTCTCCTCCGTTTCTTCCTCCTCCTCCTTCTCCACCTTCTTTTCCTGGCTCTTCTTCCCCTCCATCACAGCTATTGGCACCTCGGGGACATCTGCAGGTTCTTCATCCTTGTCTTCATCCTCATCCTTGTCCTCACCCTTGTCCTCATCTTTTTCCTCATCCTCTGGTGTTGTGCGGCCAAACCACTTCTTGAAGATCCAGGGTTCTGCCTGTGGGGACAGAGGGGACCAGGAACTGTTGATGCAGCCCAGGTGACCGGGACCCCTCTCCACCCCTTCCCCCGGGGACGAGATGCTCCCTGCCCCGGGAGGTGCCACCCTGACCCGTACCAGGTTGCTGTCAGCTTCGCTGTCATCGTAATCGTCACCGTCATCATCATCATCCTCCACCGCGCCGCTGTCCGGTGGCGGCGCAGGCTGGGCAGTCACCACCTCCGGGATCTCCTCCGCCTTGGGGCTCACGACCTCTGGGAGGGGAGAGGGACAGGCCACAGTCAGCTGAGAATGATGAGATGTTTGGGTGGGATGCCCCAGACAGGGGCTCCCAGGGCCTGGGACGTGGCCCTGTCTCAGGCTGGATCCGGGGGACCGGGGAGGGACGGAGCGCGGGACCCACCGGGCACGGGAGGGGGCGGAGGTTCCTGCCGGCCGCGGGCGAGCCCCTCCTTGGAGCACGGCGCTGGAAGAGAGGAGGGGACAGGAGCCAGGAGGTGGCAGCACGGTCGGGCCACCCCTTCCCGCTCCGTCCGGCTCCCGACTCACCTTGGAGCACCTGGAAGGTGACGCTGAGCAAGGCGACGACGGAGGCCACCAGGATGCACTTGTTGAGGGTGAGCCCTTCCCAGAGCAGCGGCTCCTCAGCAGGGTCCAGGCTGGGCGGCTCCACCTTGCTCTGCACGGGAAGGCTCCTGGGGACTGGAGCCCCCACGGAAAAATGTTACTGGAGGGAACTGGGAAGGGGCAAAGGGCTCTGAGCTGGAGGGTGGGAAGAGCTCTTAACATCCTCCTGCACAGCCCACTCAGGGACAGGGACAGACAAAGGGAGAGGGACAGGGATAGGGGCAGGGACAGGGACAGGGGTAGGGACAGGAGCTGCTCCTGCCACGTGTTTGCACTGCAGGAGTGGGGACAGGAGTGTCCCGGGGGCTGGCACCCAGGGGTTTGGGCCATGGTGCCATTGGAGTACCCTGGGGATCCAGCTGGGAAAAGCTCTGCCCGTGCTCCTTCTCCAGCAGCAAATCTGGGCAGGGTGGAGAGAAGGAGGAGGAGGAAGTGGGGAATCTGGCAGGCTGCTGAGGAGCACCATCACATTCCCCGTGTCACTGATGTCCCCGAGGACTGCGGAGAGCACAGCTCCTCCTGTCACTGCTCCATGGCCAGGCAGTGCCCCCGGGCTGGCCAGGGACACGGGACTGTGCCTCTGTGATCCCCTGGGGCCAGGGTGGCCGTTCTGGGGCAGGGAAGGGCTTTCCCACACACCCACCTGGAGGCCCGGCAGCGCTGCCCTTGGCTCCCACCTTCTCCACCCGCTTCTTCTCCGCCGCTCTCCTGTCCCCGCCGAGCGGGGCTGGCTCTGGCATGTCCGGCTCCTGTCTCTGCCTCGGGCTGGCCCGGGTCCTGCTCGGAGACACCGCGCCAGGGACTCTCCTTCTCTATTCCCTGCTGGGAGGGCACAGGGCTGGCCGGGGGGACAGGGACACGCTGCTCTGGGGGTCCCCGGGGCTGAGCCGGCGCTGCCCCAGCGAGAGGCACCAACCCGGCTCCTGCAGCACCTGGGCCGTGCGTTCACCTCAACACCCTTAAACAGGGGTGTATTTTACGTTATTTAAGCTGGATTTAGCCACGAGTTACCCCCGGCACACAAGGGTGGGCTGGAGACTGAGGACCCCCAGGCTGTGCTTGGGATCCCCCCAGAGCCCCCTCGGGGCTGGGCTGGGGCTGCAGCATCCACTGAGGGCGGGGTCCGTGTGTCCGGGCTCGGTGCTCAGCCGGGTTTGGTGTTGGTCAGAGGCACCAGGGAGAGCTGCCCACCGACACGGATCAGTGACAGTGACAGCGACAGCGACAGCTGGGGGACCTTGGGCTGCCCCAGGATGGACGTGCTGCAGCACTGCAGGCCGGAATGTCACTGCGGGACAGCCCCAGCTCAGCCCCAGGAGCCTGACCCTAACCAGGGATCCATCCCTGGCACACCCTGCCCTGGCACAGGGATCCATCCCTGGCACCCCCTGTCCTGGCACAGGGATCCATCCCTGGCACCCCCTGTCCTTTCCTGGCACAGGGATCCACCCCAGGCATCCCCTGCCCTGACCAGGGATCCACCCCAGGCATCCCCTGACCCGGCACAGGGATCCATCCCTGGCACACCCTGTCCTATCCTGGCACAGGGATCCATCCTTGGCACCCCCAGCCCTGACCAGGGATCCATCCCTGGCACACCCTGCCCTGGCACAGGGATGCTCCCCAGCAGCCCCACCCTGACCCTGGGCACTCACATGTGTTCCAGTGCTCTCCCCGTGGCTGTCTCTGCTCACTGGAGCGTTGGCATCTGTTGAAGACAAGCACAGCACAGCTCCTTAGGTGACAAATTTGGGGAGGTGGGGATCCCCTGGTGACACCCCCAGCCTGCAGAGGGGGGACACCTGGCTGTGATTGCACCTTTGGTGTTGCCAAGGAAGGACAGAGGTGTCCCAAGTCAGGCAAAAAGCCCCCCTGGCACTGAGGGGGTGCAAAGGCAGCTCTGGGCAGCTCTAGGGCTCTGAGCCCCAAAATGTCACCATCCTGCACATCCCAGGGGAGTGGCAGCCAAAGGGACAATGACCTCCCTGCCAAGGCACACAGGGGGACCAACAGCCCGGGCTGGGCTCAGACACCACAAAAACACAAAGCTGGACACTGGAAGGCCAGAGCTGGACAGCAGGGGAAGTCTCAGTCCATGGAGCAACCAGACATCAAAAAGGAACTCAAGGGCTCAGGGAGGCCTCTCAGGGCTTTTCCCAGCTGGGGAGTGGGAGAGCAAACTGAGAGTCCCCAGGGCTCTGACATGAGGAAGGGCTGGGGAGGGGGGTTGGGCTCCTCAGGGTCCTGGGGGTTTCTCTGCCCTGGGAGAGCTGCAGGGTTGGGAAGGCACCACAAGGTCCCAGCACCACTGGCCTGAGCCCTCTTGTTATCTCCAAGTCCAGTGCCTCAGGTTTTCCTCCCCATAAGGAAAATTTTTGCCCCCTTTGAGCTGGATTTAGTTTATTTCCCCCCTGTGGAACACTGAGAAAAGACCCCAGTTCCCAGGATGAAACCTACGACTCAATGTTGGAAGCAGAACAGATAAATAAGAAGAAACCTTTCGGTCATAATCTGAAAGGTCTTTGCTTTCAAGAGGAAATAAAATGAGTCTGTGGTTTGTTTAAGTGATGTAAACTGGTCCTTTCTCTGCTGGGAAGGGATGGAGCTGTCCCAGCACTCTCCTGGTGGCTGGGGGGTTTTCCAGACCCAGGGAAAGCACAAAGCTGGAGAACTTCTCAAAGTGTTGTCTCCTCACGTGCTTGCTGTGTTTTTGAGCTTCTCAATCATTCACCCTGGTTTTGGGCACAGATGAGCACCAGGAAGGTAGAGGAGGGCCTGAGCTTCTGCTCCTCTTCTCCCTGGCCAGGATCCATGTTCCCATGGAGCTGGTGTCACACAGGTGTCCCTCAATGCCCGAGGTCACCCTGTGAAGTGACACCACCACAAAGAACCATCTCTGCCAGCCTGAGCTATGTCCTGCAGAGTCTCACACACCTTACCAGTGGCCATGGCTCATGGTGAGGACAAGGAACCTCTTCTGTCCTTCCTTTGCCGCCTCTGAGCTCTCCCTGCCCACCTGGACAGCCCTTTGGTGGCCTCAGGGCATCCCAAATCTTTCTCCAATGCCACACACAGACCGTGTGACCTCAAGGGACCCTCACTGAACTGAGAGGGATCAAACACTGTGCCCACAGCACACCCCTGCTGGGCTCCCCAGGCCCCAGCTGAGCCCAGTGCCCTGTCACAGAGTTCCAGACTCTTTCCACATCTCCACCCCTTGGGCTTCACTCTGATGGAGGAGCCTAAACAGCCTCCAGACCTGGGGGCAGGCAGGTGTCCTTCCCTGCCCCAAAGACATTAACTGGGCCCCAGAGCTGAGTACATCCACGTCCAGGTCTGTCCCCCCTGGGCAGGAGATGGGGCTCTGTGCCCTGGCAGGAGGTGGATGCACTCCAGGGCTCTCCAGCCCACGCAGGATCCTTGTCCCCAGCTGGGATGGGCCGTGTCACCTGCAGGATGAGCACAGGGTGTCCAAGCAGGGCAGGGGTGGCCACCAGTGCCAGGGACACTTTGCCCATGGCAGGACCGGTCACCCGCAGCCCCCAAGTCCAGCTGCAGCCTTGGCTCGCACCGGCCCTGCCCAGGAGCGCTCCCATCCATCCCTCCTGCTCATCCCGCTCCCCGGGACTCACTCCCCGCACGCCAGATCCGCCCGTAAAGGCTCAAAATCGCAGGCACTTAACAAATAATCAGCTCCGCTCTGCTGCCACTGGGACTCCTCCTGCACGGGCTCCGAGGTCGCCTTCACCGCTGACTCACATCAAAGAAACTTCCAAAAATAGTCCCCTCGCCTGCCCGCTCTCCCTGCCACCCTCGCCCGGGGATGAGCCCCGTGGCTCCCGGTCCCGCGCGGCCGGAGGGAGCCGGGCTGTGGCCAGGGGCTGCCCAGGGGCTGCCCCACATCAGGACTCAAAAGCCACAGAAATCCGTACCTGGGGTCGGCCGCCGCCTCCTCCTCGGCTGCAGCCCCCGGGCGGCCCCGGCTGTCCCGGGTAAAGAACAGCAACAGCTGCCGGAGGGAGCCGGAGCAAAATAGCGCCCAATCACCGGGGCCCGAGCGCCACAAAAGGCAGCTCAGCCCCGGCCCCGAGCGCAGGGACTGCCCCGGGCACTGAGTGAGGCTCTCAGGGGCACCTGCGAGGGGGTTTGTCCCTCTGTGACACTCCTGGAGAGCACGGGGAGGGAACAAGGCCACCAGCCCCGGGTATCTGAGCCTGCTGTGGGAGAGATGGATGGACGGATAGATGGATGGATGGATGATGGATGGATGGAGGATGGATGGATGGATGGATGGAGGATGGATGGATGGATGGATGGAGGATGGATGGATGGATGGATGGAGGATGGATGGATGGATGGATGGAGGATGGATGGATGGATGGATGGAGGATGGATGGATGGATGGATGGAGGATGGATGGATGGATGGATGGAGGATGGATGGATGGATGGATGGAGGATGGATGGATGGATGGATGGAGGATGGATGGATGGATGGATGGAGGATGGATGGATGGATGGATGGAGGATGGATGGATGGATGGATGGAGGATGGATGGATGGATGGATGGAGGATGGATGGATGGATGGATGGAGGATGGATGGATGGATGGATGGAGGATGGATGGATGGATGGATGGAGGATGGATGGATGGATGGATGGAGGATGGATGGATGGATGGATGGAGGATGGATGGATGGATGGATGGAGGATGGATGGATGGATGGATGGAGGATGGATGGATGGATGGATGGAGGATGGATGGATGGATGGATGGAGGATGGATGGATGGATGGATGGAGGATGGATGGATGGATGGATGGAGGATGGATGGATGGATGGATGGAGGATGGATGGATGGATGGATGGAGGATGGATGGATGGATGGATGGAGGATGGATGGATGGATGGATGGAGGATGGATGGATGGATGGATGGAGGATGGATGGATGGATGGATGGAGGATGGATGGATGGATGGATGGAGGATGGATGGATGGATGGATGGAGGATGGATGGATGGATGGATGGAGGATGGATGATGGATGGATGATCGATGGATGGATGGAGGTGCTGGGGGGTGCAGGGATGGAGAAGAAACCTGCCAGGCACAGATGAGGAGAGAGGACAAGACATCCCCCTGGGGGCAGCAGTGCTCAGACAACCCCAGTGAAAATCCCATTTTGCAGTGTTTGGTCCACTGCCCTCCCACCCCTCTGATGTCCCCGTTCCTGTCCCCAGGAGCCCTGTCACAGCCACTGGCACCTCCTGGGCAGGTGAGAGAGGGGATGTCCCATCCCACCCACTCCCAGGATACAGGGAGGAGATAAAGAATCCCATCAAGGGAGCAATAAAAGACCCTCGGGTTCTGGCCGTGTGGGGGTTATCCTGAGCCCCCAGCTCAGCACAGGCAGGAACAGCCTCAGGCAGAAGCTCTGTGCCAGGGATGTGGTGCAGCAGTGACACAACTGGCACATCCCACTTTGTCTGGCACATCCCACTTTGAAGATATTGCTCTTGTAGAGAGGTTTCAGGCTCTAAACCCTCCAAATCCCTGAAATTGTAACATTTCACACCTGCAGTATTGACATTTTTCTTCAGCAAGATCTAAAGGAGGAATAAACCAGGCACTGCCTTTCCCAGGACACCCGGTGAGGCTGGATCCAGGCCCTGCTTTAGGAGCTCTGAGCACACGAGCTCAGGAGCAGCCTCTGCTCTCCAGGGCAGGGATTTGCCCTCTC